AACGTCACACTCCGAAACGCGACGCTCCATTTTTGGCATAATCGGATGAAGAGCTAAGTGTCGTGAGGAGGAGTTGAAATTTAGCGTTGAAGATCATACTGGGCGAACGATACCGCTTATATAGATACTCGAAGCCCGTTTGACGATGTCAACTCGTTATGGTGCGTGAACCATCCGCCCACCAGGTTCCTAATTCTCCGGAGAAGCGGGGGATACAACCAAGGTTCTGAAATATCTTCTGGGGTTCGAGCTGGATCGGGACCCCATTCGCGTCCGATGGTTTCTAGAGGCTAGGGCGGATAACCTGTCAGATCCACCCAAATCAAATAGAGACATGTACCCCAGGCCTGATCTGTGGGGTGCATGACGGATTTCCCCGCGAAAATGGCGCTGAGGTTGTCTAGGAAGGCTGAGGTGTTTTTCCATGGAGATTCTTCCCATCTCAGCTCAACTTAGGCAACTTAGCCAACCAAAAGGAGGAACGGCCCTCGGAGAAACCGGTCAGGACACTCCATTGCTTAGCCACCACGAAAGATCCTGTTTTTATTCGAAGATCACTGACAACGCCGCCGAAGTACGACCAGGGGTCCCGGCGTATGTACGGAGTCAGGCCGTCACTAACAACAGCTTTTCTCCCATCACAAATCTTTGAAGAATGCCTACCCGTGTATTGTAAGTAAAGAGCCGCGCGAATGAGTTCAAGCTGTCATTCTCTAAGCCAAATCAAGCACTGCCTATCGCTCTAGCTTTGTATTCAGCTTTGACTGTTCTGTCAAGGGAAAGTGGAACGAGCCTTGAATTTGATGGAATTATTTTGTTCGCCTGCCATGGAAAGATGGGCCGACGTCTTGAACAAGGCCGTATCTTATAACTTCGAACACTACTTCACCAAGAATTAGAAAGTTGTAGGGCCTGGCGGGTGACTCCCTTTCCCAGGCGCAACACACTCATTTGGAAGTCAGTCTCGATGCCGGCTCACGTTGCGATGTACAGAAGAGGCGATAGATCACGGAACTAACCTTCAGCACACTCCAGGTGCCTGGCCTGCAAGTCCTGTTTCAGGCGGAGCATCAAACTGCAAACGACTAGAAATATCATATACGACGTGCTCTGTATTCTGGCGCGGCATCATAGTCTGGGGATACGCAAATCCAATCCGTTTGCCCCTAGGGGATTTCAAGGCGATTAAATATATCATCATCATCATCATAATCATCTACGCAAATCCACTTCAAATGATGGAATATCAGCGCCATGAGGCCCGCCTACTCAAATTGCCAGAGCCTTGGGACCAGAGCTTAGTGGTAAAATTGATCGATCAGGCTGCTTGAGTACCCAATTTGGGGCATCAATTCTCGTCTAACACCAAGCCGACATCAGGCGCCTGCAGCGCAGTTTTAGTCATTACAAATACTTTGACCCTTATACCTCTTCAGTTGCAGCAATCCTAACTGGCATTGCCGATTTGGACTGCCTTTAAATCACCTGCCGGGCGGAATGAACAGAAACACAAACCGAGCCAAGTGGGCCAGAACATCAAGGGACAGTTTACTCATGTGTTCCATCAAACAAGGGTTCGTTGCAGCACAGGGTCACTGGAGGTGGCTGGAGGAGAAGAAAGCAAACTTCTATTCATTTTTCGGCCATACCTCATGGTTTGCCGTTGATCCTTTGTTTAGTCTAAGGTGTTTATTATTGGAAACTTGCAAAAACTACATTAGCCCCAATCCTCAGCACTGCGTGCGTTGCATGTGAGCATCGCCTTTCTCAAAATCTTGATACTGGCCCTTGACCTCAGAGAGATCACTGGCCTCCTTCGTGAACAGACCCTCCTTGGTGGCCTGCCCATTGAACGCTTGTTTCTCTACATCATCCCCGCTCCCTGCCTCTTCATGCATCTGCCGCAAAAGACTTTCTCTTCCCTTCCGTACAATGACATCAAACTCAAATGCGGCGGGCTTAGCGATGAGGAGTGGCGTGAAGTCGTTCCAGTGGACTGGCACAGCACTGCCATCGGGCCGCCTCTTCGGAATTATATCCATTGCCCACGCCAACCCACCCATCGTCAGGAACAAGTCCTGCTCCACGATGGAGACGCCTTGACAGGTCCGCCGACCGAAGCCAAACTGACTGTAGTTTGCGAGATTGGGGTAAGTAGTGAGTGGTGCTTTGTACGTCGGGTAAGACTCTTCGAGCCAGCGGGCGGGGTTGAAGATTTCGGGGTCGGGATACATGACGGGATCGCGAGTGATGGACCTACGTTGTTAGCTTTGTATCCCGCGTCATACTGTAGTCGAAGCTTACCACTCGAGAGCATGAATGGTTGCGCCCTTGGGGATGAAGTATCCCTCGTACACATCATCCTTTTCCACCGCATGCGGAATACCTGTTGGCACGGGTGGCCTCCACCGCAGCACCTCTTTGACCACAGCTCTTACCATGGGCAGCCTTTCCCGGTCAGACCACTGGGGACACCGTCCTTCGCAGACGGTCTCTATCTCCTCTTGGAGTTTTCTCTGCCACTCGGGGAAATGCAGCATTGCCAACAGGAAACTTTGAATGGGGCTCCCAATCGTCAGGGCCCCAGCGATAGCCATCTGGCCGACAGTGTACATGGCATCCCACACCTCTACATCAGCATACTTCCCGCCGGGGCTTCTATCGGACAGGAAGGTCTGCACAAAGCTCGGCCGCGCCTCGCTGCCCTCCATGCCCTCCCGCACCGAAGCCACGCACCGCGTGAACAGCTTCTCTTCGACAGCGTGTCGTGCCGCCTCCCTCCGCTTCCAGGGAGAAGCCCACCTCGGCAGGCCGGCAAGGAAAGAAACAACGTTCGGCAGCGCACCGGCGGGGCTGATAGTCTCGAGCAATCCCTGTGTCGTGACGCGCAGCGTGTCGGCCGGCGCCGCGCTGCCCCACGACAGCCTCGCGACGGTCCGCGACGTGAACTGCTCGATCCACTCCCTGTACTCGGCGGGCTGCGTCGCCACGAGCCACAGAAGGCGGTCGCGCTCGCGCGTCGGGTACGCATGCAGGTCTTGGGCCGCCGAGACGGACATGAGGCCGTGGGCGAGCTTGCGCTGGCGCTTCCACGTATCGTTGCGGCCGGCGAGGGCGAGGTAGTTGCCGCTGTAGCGGTTGTCAGGCAGGTTCGGGATGACGGGGCGGTCCGAGTAGATTGTGCTGCGGCGGGAGAGGAGATCTGTAGCGACCGACTCGGAGGAGATCCAGATGTGGGTTGAGCCGAACATGTCCATTGTGTAGATGGGGCCGTACTTTTGGCCCCATTCGTGAAACTTGAGCCAGCTACCTTCAGCTGGGACATCATGGACGCGGCCGATGAAGGGTAGGTCTGGGCTGGTCAGTGTCTGCGATGGGCGACAGAAGGGCTTGTGAGAAGACACCTACTCATCGGACCAGGCAGGGGTTTTGCGCCATCCGGCAGCTTTTTCTTCGTGGTGATAGAAACATATAGTTGGTACAGGCCAAGGCATAAAACGCCTGCCACGACCAGTACTAGGCCCACCATGGCTGTGGTATCACTCAAATCTCGTGAGGAATAGAGAAATGTGCTGCAATTCAGAGGGAAGACAAGCAAAAAGGCAGAACGAGTAGGGAATTACCTGGCCTGGGGGACCCAAAAAGCCAAAGTCTAGGCTTATGAACTGGCCATGCAGAGAGATACCACCACTCGGCTTTCGATGACCTTCTGTCCGCAGGCCAAGCCCACCGGACAATGCATGTTGGCGTTCAGCAGCTGGGCAGCCTAAAAAAAGATACAACCTACTGTTCATCTCAGACCACGAAGCAACTCCGTATACGACGTGGCGTCAAGGCTGAGCCCACAAAGCTCACCCGATCGTCCCGAAGCCAACGACAAGTATTGTGTGGCACGCACTCTAACGAGGTGCATGCCCAGCCCGAGAGACTAGGCATATTCTGTCCGACGCATGAGATGGTCTTCCGCGCAGGGAGCAAAGGGAGCAAAAGCATACACACGGTCTAAGGTGCTGGACAGAACGGGGACCCGTCCACTCTCCCACAGAAAGCAAAAGCATCGTTGGACGGACTCTCAGGCCGGTTGATTACGAGGTGGGCCCAAATGGCACAGTATCCTGATGCCCAATGTTGTTCCTGCTACAGGTCAAGAACGGAAGCCAAGTCCCGAAAAACACCGTTCCAATTTCAGGTGCAGGACTCTTTCGTCATCAGACGGGGTTTCTTCCCGGGGGAGCCCAACGACTCTGGAACATACAGATTAAACCCCGAGATAAGGGCCTGGGCTCATATTGCATCGTCTGAAGGCACCACTTGTGACGAGGCCAAAAGATCAAGCTTGATTTCGAGGGCTGCACATAGACAACATCACACGATGGATCATGGAGATGATCATGACCTTCCAGCTCACAATCGACGTTGGTGTCGTTACATCGACGAGATGGCCTCCGCGGGAAGGAGATCGGCAGCACGCACGCCACAATCCAGATGCAGGGAATAGTACCTCCACAAGAAAACGCCAACCAGAGCAACGAGAGTCCGATCTACGTCAATGAGGATGCACAATTCGGCAATGCAAGGATCAGACGTGCACGGCAGGTTCCGAAAACACCGATGATAGGGGGCCGCCAAGGCCGTGGCCACCGGACTTCCCCAACAGGGGCGGCCGGAATCCCTGGTGCGCCAGCTTGGGAACAAGAATATCTGAAACAAGAGAACAGTGAACACCATTGGTTGGCAGGAGAACGACAAGGAAACCCGGATTCGAGGTGTGTCATGCATCACGTGTTGAGGGACTGGCGGCGGTGGTTTGAAATTATACTTTTTTTGTCTTCGCCGATACGCGTTGGCCACAACTACAGCTCTCGACTCATAATAGCTGTTAGCAAGAGACAACTCGTCATCAAAGTGACGCGATCCTCTCAATCGCTTAATCCCTGGCAAGCCGTGACACCAAGGCGGTGCTCCTTTACTACCACATGCGACATCGTGACTTTCCTTCCTTACATCCTGCAGCGCTGTCAGCACGTACAACGACCGTCGCGGCATTGCCTCTACATACCTCTGAACAGGCGACAGACCCAGCAACCTCATGCCGTTCGCCAGGACGGTCCTGGTGGAGTAATACAGGGCCAGACGGGCCTTGAGCACCTCGGGCTCGCTGCCAACGACCCTCAGCACGTCGTAGGAGCTGCTGAGCACGTGCGTCAGCTTGAACAGGTACGTAAGCACCGTCGTCGGCTCGAGCGTCTTGAGGGTGTTCTGCACCGTGTCGGGGTACTGCGACAGCATGCGAATGAGCTCCGTCGCGTGCTTCTCGGTGAGTAGGCTCAGGTCGGCGTCGACAAGGTCCGCCTCGGGAATGTTGGCCTTGCGCATGATGGACGACAGACGGGCGTGGGCGTATTGAAGGTAGGGGCCCGTGTCGCCCTCGAAGCTTGTCATGGCCTCGAGGGAGAAGGTGTACGAGTTCTGGCGCTTGCCCGTCATGTCTTGCACCATGATGGCGCTGATACCGAGTGTCTCAGCGACGGCATCTGGGTTCTCAACCTGCTTATACTTCTCCTCGTTCTATTGGCCACATTAGCTTGGGCCTGTCAAGGTCGTGCCTGATGTTACTAACCTTCCTCATGACATCATGCATGTGGTCAGAAACGTCGCGAATGATATCGCTCAGGAACTTAACAGTCTGTAATTCAAATTAGCCATGTCATCTTTACAGCAAGAGAATGGGTATACGTACGCCCTTGCGAGTGCTCATACCGAGTACCATGCCAAAGTTGACGTGCTGGACCTTCTTGGCCGTGTCAGTAAAGCCCATGAGCTCGATAATCTTGAACAACTGCTTCAGGTGCAGATCTTGTTGCGACGCAACAACGTAGATCATGTGGTCAAAGTTGTACTTCTTCTCGCGGTGCAGCAGCTCGCTGATATCACGAGTAAGGTACAGCGCAGCTACGCCATGTCAGTCACTTATGCCGGACGGACTTATTGGAGAGGTTGACTTACTGCCGTCACGCTTCTTAATGACGGGCTTCTCCAACGACTTGCCGGCCTTGCCTGCGACGTGCTTCTGGAAGTTGATGACCACGGCACCGTCCGACACCTCGGAGATGTCCTTGTCCTCGAGCGTCTTGGCCGAGGCGGCCATGTCCTCCTCCGACACCTGCGACTCGCCCGAGTACTCGTCAAAGGTGACGTTGAGCTGGGCGTACGTCTGCTTGTAGCGAACGATACTGAGGTCACGGAACTTCTTCCACTGCGCGAGCGCCGCCTGCTCGCCGTCGTTCATGGCCTTGAAGTAGCGGCGAGCCTGCTCGTCGAGACCCTCATTCTTAAGCTCGCTGGCATCCTTGCCCTCCTTCTCGAGCGCGGCGATCTTCTCCTTCTCCTCGGCGAGATCGTTGTTGATCTTGACGTAGACCTGAAATAGGTGGTTGATGGGGTCCGTCTCGAGCGCCTTCTCGTCACCGTACTTCTCGTAGCCGAGCGCCAGGAGGCCGTACTGCTTGCCCCAGTCGCCGAGGTAGTTGATGCGGGTGACCTTCCAGCCGGCGCCCGCGTACAGGTGGGAGAGGAAACCGCCAATGATGGTGCTGCGAAGGTGACCAGCGTGGAAGGGCTTGGCAATGTTGGGGCTGCTGAACTCGACAATCATGTGCTTCTGGCCCTTGGAGGGGTCTTGGGGATCCCGGAGGCCGTTGCGGGGGTTCTTGCCAAAATCCTCGGTGCGCTGCTGAATCTGAGGAATGACGAGCTGGGCGAGAGGCGCGGCCTTGAACCAAAACTGAATGAAGGAGCCGTTGTTGAAAGGAACGGGCTTTTCGATGAGAGGGGACTCGGGGAACTAGGTTGCGGCATGTTAGCCGCGTGTTTACTGTCGCGCCGGCTGGCAAGAGGAGGAGGAGGAGGAGGAGGACAAGCGTTCGCGTGACGTACCTTGGCGAGCCACTCTTCGGTCAGCTCATGGGGCTTCTTGCCCTTGACGCGAAGGGCGGGCACGGGCAGCAGAAGATCGCCGTTCTCGAGTGTGGCTGTCCATTGCAGGGCATTGTAGATCAGGGACTTCTCAACGCCAGAGACATCGTGGAGGAGGGAGGCAATGTGTGATCGGTAGACGTCGACAGGGTTGAGGTCGGGGTGGGAGTTGGGGAACGCCTCGAGCTTGCCGACGTTGAGCTTCTCGAGCTGGCTGGCGAGGTCGCCCACGGGGGCTTCTGTGGCCATGGTCGCGAGACTTCGGATGGCTGTGATGGTGTGGGAGGAACTTCGATTTGCGTTTAGCTTCGGATTCGGAGAGCGGGGGAGCTGGTAGGCAAGGCCAAAGAAGGGATGGGAACCGCGCAGCGATTGTCGAGACGGGAGGCAAAGTACCGGTGCCGGGCGAAGTGAAGACGGGTTGAAAAGTTGTGAGAGGCGGCTCGTCATGCCAGGGGTAGTGTAGGGCCGGATTAAGGAGGGGTTAAAAAGAGAGAAAGAGGGTCTATCGAGGGGTGCTGCGTGTGAGTCAAGGCTGTTTGTTGGTCGAGCCCAAGGTCAGTCGCGGGCCCGTTGGAGGGGAAATTTTTGGGCGTGCAGCTGTGCATTGCCTTGTGGTGATTGGCTGCATCTCGGTGAGAGGCTTGACCGAAACATAACACCTTCACCGGGATGGAGGGGTAGCGGTGTGACATCGCTTGCGACGGAATTGTTCCCGCCAACATCAAACCTGGGGCCTCTCCCCATAGTCACTGATTCATTTAGAGTCTCTTTCTTGTATTCTTGTATTTTGGGTATAATGCCATCTTCAGACCATCATCTAGAACGAGTACTCCTCCACATATAGGTGTATGCCCTGAGCTCCTGTTCCCTTGTGCACTGCTCTCTCATCCGACAACCGTGTCACGCAGTTGCGTACAGAACTCGTCAGGGATTGCCCACCACATACCACCACTGACGTCTCTCCACCTGCCGCCTCGACGGGCTCGCGGATGAGTGACTCAATGTCTAGTCTCGTCGTGTACTGTCGCAGAAAGTCGGAGCCACCGCTACTTGAGCTTCCTCCGGCACAGCAGCTCCCCTTCATCATGTGGCAGCCTGGCTGGTTCCCAGGGTTCGCAGCTCTAATGATATCCTTCTCTTCCATCTCACCACCCTCGGCGTCTGAGCTGCTAGAGTTGCCTCTCCTATGTAGGAGCGATTCTGTGGTGCCAACTCGTCCATCGCCGTTGAGAACGCTCGTCACAGCCTCGATATCGGCATCGGAGCGCGTGATAGCGACATGCACCGTCAATTCGAGACCCATCCCGTGAGCTCGATCCACTGCCTCGCGCAGCCTTTGTAGGTAGAAATCAATCTCCTCGCCTTGACACGCTGTCAATACAAACTCGACCCGCTTCACGCACGTCTTGGTTCGTTCCTGCACGATCGCCTCGAGTATGGGAAGCGTAAAGGAAGCTCCTGTCGAGGCGGAGATGAGAATGACCGTCTCGTAGATATCCCACCGTGGGGGCGCTCCGAAAGGTCCCACGACAAACGCAGTGAGTGTTTCGCTCCGGCCAGCCTGCTGCATCTTCTGCGCGTGGTTGTGGAGTCGCTTGGAAAACCCGCCGTGCTTGCGAATGACGAGCTGCACACTATTGCAGATGCATGTTTCGGGCAATTGATGCGCGCATGCAATCGTGTACGGGTGAGCTTCGAATGGACCGAGGCGCGGCAGCCAGAGGTAGAGATGCTGACCGGCCTTCCACGAGAAAGACACATCCTTGATCGTCAGAACGGTGGTCGATGAGCCAACTGTCCTCACTTGTGCCTGGTGACCGATTCGCTTCATTCCCTTGCAGTCTGATCTGTCCGGCTTTGGTCGCAAATTCTGCCACAGCAGCAGGCCCCAGCGGGCGAGACGGTCGAAACAGATGCAGGCAACGCTGAACCACAAGTAGGGCCGGGCAGGCTCGGGAATGTGCACATAGACCAGCCACAGGAAGATGATCGCAGTTAAAACGTGCTGGACGATAAATAGCTCGTAGGCCATGTGTCGGAAGGGCTTGAAGGTGGTCAGGATGGTCCACAGCAGGAGTGCCCAGGCACCAAGTCCTTGCTTTGTGATGGGCAAGATTTTCATCTGGATCTCGATAATCTCGGCTCTTTCCCATTGCGTCCAGAAGTGGAATCCGTGTACAGTCGCTGTCACGAACATAGTACGACCGACCCATCGATGGAGCCAGTTGAGTCGCTCGTGGCTGGTGCCCGTGAGGTAGCCGATTATGTTAAACTTCATGGACAAGAGATAAAGCAGCGGCATCTGCATGATTGTTGTCCAACCGTTGCGGAAACCGATGCGCTCCCAGTAAAAGACGTCCTTGATGATGGCACCGTGGGCTGTCATCATGTTGATGATGACGGCCCAGTACGCGACGAGAAGGATAATGCGGCCGAGCGATGGCGGCGAAGCCCAACGAAGGCCTTTCTTAGGAACGAAGAATCGCGGATAGGCCGCTTCACGGACGATAGCCGTCGCCGTCGCCCATGCTTGTGTCAGACGGCCGTCTGGCTTGGTGGGGTGCGCGAGAGACTGTGTATGGTGCCGCCTGAGTCGTCGGCGTCCCTCGAGATAGTTGATGCCACGGATGGCTGCCGCAAAGCCCGTGGCGCCTGCGATGATGTACCAGTACGATTCGGCAAGGTGTTTATTTGTGGCCTGAAGTCCTCCAGCGCCGCCGCCGCCTCCGCCGCCGCCGTGGTGTTCGTGGTTCATGGCGAGCAGTGAGATCCTGTTTAATCGAGGGAGTCGTGGGAGTCGTGGGAAGCCGTTGATCCAGTCGCGGCCAGAATCGAATGAGCGATTGTACCCTTCCTCTCAGGGTGATTAGGCGAGGGACAGAGTACTGATGAGCCGAGCGAGCCTGTCGAGGTCCTCGGGGAATCGGCTGTCAGCTTCAGTCAAGCATGTCGCCGCTGAGGAGACCAAAAAGCATCAACGCGTTCCGAGAGCCGATTGTGGTGTTGTGGAGGAGGTAAGATGCGACGTCGGAAGGTCGGAGGGGTTGCGGTGGATTGAGCAAGTTCAAGAGGCGCGGCGGGCTGGGCGCGCGGATTCCGCACATCTATCAGCACACTGCCCACTCACGCACATACGCCACTGACAGGTAATAAATTCTGCTGACCAGTTAGCTCGCCATGAGCGAGCAATTCTTTTCGATTGCCAAGTCATCACAGATCATCACTTTACTGGCACTGCTGCTTCAGACGACTTGGCTAATTAGGAGCAACGGCCGTTTGTCAGATGGGTCGCGTCAGTGTTGGTGCTGTTCTTTCTGTCATCTATCTATCTTCATGGGGTGGCTGTGTCAGCGCAAGGTATTGGACGTATGAGAACAATTGATTTGTTTTCGGCCTCATGTTTCGGCCTCCAGGGCAACAGGAGGAACGTCATGTCTTGGTGTTGAGATGATCGTCTCAGGACCGAGACCGTAGTAGGTCACCTCTAGCTTTGGGCCAGGTCCTCTAAGATCCTCCCTGGAGGCTTTGTCAAGTCTGTTCAGGCTCGTGGCCAGCCTTGGATGCGCTGGGAGCTGCCTGGAGCAACATTCTACTCATGTCGATGGAGGGCAGGAGCAGCTCTGGACGAGACGAAGACGGAACAAGCAAGAGCCATGACCTTGATAGTTCGTGGTGGACCCAGAGCCCCGGACGCCAAGACGTGGGTAACTTGCTCAAATGCGCGCAACCGAGCGCATGTCCTGCTGTCATTGGCGGGCAGAGGGGGCAGGCGCACCCAGATCATGCCGCTAATGCAACCCAAAAGGACCCCTGCTCAAGGTCATCCCTTCCCGCCTTACCAAGCTCAGCCCCACCTTCAGAACCCAGCACCTGGTTCTGGTGAGCATCATCGCCATCTGGAGCCTGCTGTGCATGCGTCTTGATGAACGTCAACACCACTTTTGGATATCGCCCGCTGAAACGCGACCACTTACCTCGTGGCAATATCCACAGAATCTGGAGTCAGCCACGATGCATCATGCCGCACGAGGGCGGACCGTCAAGCAGGGTCCGTCCTGCGTCGCCAAACACTAACGCCATTCGAACCTCATGTCTTCAAGCGAACATGGACCCTGAGGCTTCTTCGTTCGGAGCTCGGCAGCGCTTCCAGTCTTGAAAGTCCTCGTCATTCGTTTCAGTAGACCGTAAGCCTGCCGAGCATCCGTAGAGGGGTACGACTTGCTGGGGATTGTACCTCGTCTGACCGCCTAAGGGTGAGGATGACCACGAGCTCGCCCTCTGCCGACTTGCGCCAACGGCCTCACCATGACATCCGCTAGTCTCAGACGGGAAAGTTGCTGCTCCGACCCAGAGCCCAAGCAAAAGCTCGGCACCCCTCCACTCCGCTCTCCGGGGTGGGTGGGAGCTCCAAGCCCGTGTCTTCCATCCAGGTACACCTCCCTTAAAAGACTCTCGTCTTCCAGTACAATCTCCCCGCCACGCCTGCTTGCCAGACCCAAAGCCAGAACCAAACAAACTTGCTCGTCACCTCTATCACACAGAGTTCTTCAAGACCAATTGCCCGTTAACGCGATCAATCACCTTTCACACAAGGCATATCACACACCACCAGCACCATGGCCCGCCTCACGACCCTCCTCACGACCGCCGCCCTCGCCCTCACCTCCTCTGCCCACTTCACAATCGAGGCTCCAGACTCGCACATTGGCGGCAGCGACACGGCGCGACAGGACACCGGCCCCTGCGGCGGCCACACCCCGTCCAGCAGCGACTCGGCCGTCGACTTCCACGTTGGCGGAGACGCTATTGCCCTCGTAGACCTCCACGCCCAGTCCGACTGGCTCATCCGCGCCACCGTCAACACGTCCGACTTTGGCTCGGCAGAGTGGACGCAGCTCCACCACATCTACCGCAGCACAGGCTATGGCTCAAACTGCCAGCCCGGCGTGACGGCGCCCGAGAGCTGGGTCGGCAGCCGCGGCGTCATCAACATCATCGGCAGCGCCACCGACGGCATTCTCTACGCTGTGAGTATCTCTCCCTTGCCTGCCCTTTTTGAGAAAGGCCACCTCTAGAGAAAACTCTCACCTTAAAAAATGTCACGCTAACCATGCCGCGCAGTGCGCCACCGTCAACTTTGTCGAGGGCACCGGCTCCGAGAACAGCAAGTGCAAGAACGGCACCGACGTGACCGTCACGGCCAGCGACAACAGCGACCTCTCGGCCCTGCTCGAATCCAACTCGGACTCTGCGAGCTCCACCGGCACGGCTACCTCGTCGCCTACCAGCTCGGGGACCGCCTCTGCCGAGTCTGGCGCTGCCACTGGCGGTAACAACAGCGCCGCCTCTTCGCTGAGCGGCATGCTTGGCGCCGTCTCCGTGGCGGCGGCGCTTGCTGGCGCTGTCTTGATGATGTAAAAACAATATGTCTTCAAGTTGAAGCAATGAGTGCAAGCCGGGGCATGAGGCGAGGGAGGGAGGGCATATACCAAAAGTTGTTGTGGGTTGTAAGGAGGGAGAAGAAGGGGCGGTGAGATACCTGTACACCTAGACGAGACGAGCAAAGTGACTGCTAGGATTCACAAATACACAGCCCGTGACAGGCGCTTGGAGAACATTCACGTCGGCTTGTAACGAGCCACCGGACGGACGCGGAAAGTGTCAGAACCGCTTAGTGAGAATGTTCATGATGCATGGAGGGTCGGCACGAGAGAAATTGCCACACTAACAAGCTGACTCAAGTTTTGCTTTTGAGGGACTCGACGGAGGCCCGCCACCAGCAGTGAGCATCATGCAAAATACCCATACTAGTGCACGAGCGACGGCAATCAGACGCATAAAATTACATTCGCTGTCAAACTTGCTGTCTGGACTAGCTTGAAATCGTTCGGCATATGGTCATGATCTCGTCGACGCATCACATCCTTGCTCCGCGCCACTGCGTCCTCCCAGCAGTGGCCCCAACGGTGCCCATGCCGAAGTTGTGTAGCCTTTCTCCAATGAGATACGCCTCGTCCCGTATTCTTACCTTCCATGAGTGGAATACCCCGAGCACACTCCACAACAGAACCGCCGCCAGCGCACTGAAGGCAGCCGCCGGGTATGCAAGGCGGTACACCATCTTGAGCTCGTGTGGCGCCGGGCTGGGAGTGCCAAGCATGCCACGAGCCTCGAGAAGGCTGGCACCGTAGGCAGGGCCAAAGAGGGCGAGCCCGCCGACAAACAGGCCGGGGATGACGAAAGCCCGTGTCAAAACGCCAGCGTCGGGGTCAAGCCAACCACGCCGAAGGACGGCGCGAACAGCGTGCGCAGGGCGATGACCTTCGTAGAGACTTGTGATGATGCGTGCACCAAGCTTGACATACAAGAGACCCAGGGTCCAAGACTGGATGACACGGGCGGTGTGCTGGTTAGGCGCGGTAACACCAGCAGCCAACGTACCGGTATTTTCTACGGGTAGTGCGTATGGAGAGGGGGGGTTGACATATGTGTGGAGAGGTATGATGAGATACAGCTCCATTAGAGAGGTGAGTATCAGGGGGAAAACGACGAGTAGGATGGTGTACGTGTACACGAGCTTCGCGGCGCGCAACACGAAACGTGCCAAGCGTGCTGGTGCCTCGCTAGCAAATACAGTCCGAAGAGCAGTCGCACTCCAGCTACGGACCTTTCCAACGATTGAATGGAGATGGAAGGCCAAGTAGGCAGCGGAGCCGAGAATGTAGATGCCAATGCTGAACGCGTATATGTCGTTGGTGCGGATGTGCGCCGGAATGAGAATCTCGAACATCTTGCGCCCAAAAACAAGAGGAACGATGGTGAAGCCAACGCCAGTGACTGCGGCGAAGACCCAAATAAAGAGGATGAAGAGGAAAATGCGGGCTTTGAAATGCGGCGGCAGGTAAACCAGCTGATATTGGTCGGACGAGTACAGGTCCGTATCAGGAAGGTCAGGCTTGCCATCCATGCGTTCATCATCCTCGGATACTTCCATGAACACCTTGTCGCCTTTGGGAATCTTGACCTGATCAGAGCCCGGCGTGCGCACAAAGACACCGTCTTTGATGAGCTGACCGGACTCAACGAGCCTGCGTTTTCGTAGACTGGAGCTGGTGAATTTCTCTTTGCTGAGCGCCGACGATGGCTTGGCAGTACCACCTTTGAACGTGTTCTTCCATCTCTTGGGCACCACCTGGCTCTTTTGGTTGACCTCGAGGAAGAAGCGCTTCCACCACGGGAGGGAGCTGTACCTGGACGACGGGCGCAGAACCAACGTACCCTCTTCATCAATCCGACGCTCACCAAACAGGAACCAAGTGAGACGTAGGCCGCGAGCGCATTTTCGAAGCCACCAGGTGTACATGGCATGGAGGCCATCACTGGGTTTGAAGAACTTGACAGCGAGTGGCATGGCGAAGTTATAAAAGAGTAGGTCGATCGGAAACTCCAGTACCGGCTCATTCGATGAGTAGTGAATTGGCAGCACGTTGGGTACGGTGAAGGATAGCCCCCAGACAACACCCCCAAGGCAGACAATGACCAGCGCGCCATAGACGAACGCGGAGAACAGTATCTTTCGAAGTTGCGTTACAACATTCCGCTCAAGGACGTCGCGAACGGGGTGGAAGTCGGGATCATCAGGATCTCGGATAAAGTCTGCACGTGTTAATTTTACCTTCGGGAACCCAATGTCGATTCAACTTACATAGCACCCCCTTGCGCATGATCTTTCGACACATGGATACGAAGAGCGCGAAATGGAACATGTACCCAGTGCCTACAAACCAATGCACAAATATTGAGGTTAGGGGGTAATTGATGGTGAAAGCCATCCGGGACTTTAAGGTGGCGTCTTCGAAAAGAGGAAGTAGGGCAGCATCCAGAAGGAGGCCACAGTAGAGCGGGAAGGCGAGCATCTCGATGCTGATGATCAAGATGACCTTCATGACGCCGCTGGCTTGATTCAGGAGATCAATCAACGATGCCTCCCATTCCTGGGCGATTTGTCCGTTCGAAAAAGGTGTGCCTCTGCGCAGGTACAGCGCTCCCACACCAGACATGCTGAGGTAACCACACAAAATGGCCCAGAAACGGTCGGGTCCTGACCATGATGCCAGTGCAGGGTCAACGCCGACTGGCATATCGGGGACATCGAAACTGATGACCCAGCTGGCTGGGTTGAGAAGAATATGCGGCAAGTCACGCATCAAGTATAGGGCAGAGACTCCAACCTTGCCTGCCCAAACGATGAAGTGCAACGCCTTGCTGGGGAGTTTTCCGTCGAAGACTACGTCTAAAGCAGCCCCGAGGCCGACGAACAGGGCCGCGACTTGACTCTTCAGCGTTTGCAATGCCTCATGGCTGATGGCAGAGAAATTCTGCATCTCCGTAGCAGAAATCAGGGGAAGTTCGCCACTCAGACTCTCGAGAATTCGCTTGCCTGCATGGTCTGATAGATTCCAAGTGTGAGCCATAAGGTTCTCGCAGGACCGCCGCGCTGAGGGCAACCACAGTCCTAGAGCGTTGCCAACCATGAACATGGCACCCAATAGTAGGCTACAGAATCCCGCCACGATAGCGACAGCAAGATCTTGAATGAACTTCGTGAAGCTGAACAGCATACGAACCAAGCGCATCGGGTTCATTGCCGCCCACACGCTGACGCGCCCGATATTATAAGGAATGAAGACGCAGATGAAGATGGTGACGGAAACCAAGACTGCGCAGAATACAGCATTTTGGAACAGTCCCACAAGGGGTCCACGCATGCCAATGAGCTCCAGTACGCCCTCGATATCTTCCGCATCATCCATGGCTTCGGGATCCAAGCCCGCTGCCACTGCTGCCTCGACAACTTCTGGATCGCGTTCAAAGTCGTCAGGGTTGTCGCCTTCCAGAGGGATCGCTTCTTCGAAAAGCTCGTCATCACCAACGTTATCGTGAACATGTTCAACGTCGAGAATGTCAGCATGGCCAGCTCCGATGTCTAGCTCTCGAGCTTCGATGCCATCCCACATGAAATCAGCAAGGCGATCCATGACGCCGCGCTGCAGAGGGGGTCGCTGAGGCACCGCTATGTCGCCAGCATTTGCCACGGCAGGCTCCTGTTCGCGAATGTCTACGCCATCGGGGTTTACATCGAGACCGGCATGGTCGAGCTCAAGGTGTTCAAAGGCAGCATGTGCGGAACCTGATGCTGAGGCCGCAGTGCTAACATCGTCTAGGTTCGAGGCGTCAAGTTGTGCTTCGAGCTCCTCGGTGTCTTCTCCTGCAGCAGGCGTCCAGGTCCAGTCAACTGGAGTCGGCGTTCTTGGTGCGCCAGTCCTCTCCCACGCATCATCGGGCTGTTCTGTTACTTGTGGAAGCTCCTGTGAAGATGCGTTTCCGCGTGCAGGAGCATCAGCTGGCAAGGCCGAGAACGACCAGCTGTTGTTGGCCAGGGGGTTGACGGTAGCCGCTCTCTGGGGCCCATCCGAGACAGACCGAGGCCTCAGAGCGTTATTCCACGATGAAGATGCCCCGGAAGCAATGGGCGAATCTTGAGACTCCTCGGGCACCTCATCTTCCTTTTCTTTGCCCTTGGCCTCCGAAAAATCGTCATTGGCACTCGTCATGCCGCCATGCCAGGCGAATTCAGGCGTCGAAGGTAGAGGAAGCTGTACAATTGGGGGTTCTTCCCCTGGTGGCCCATCAGCCCATCTATGTCCTCGCGAATGTTGCCCTTCCTCATTGCTGGGTTGTTGGGGCGGATTGCCATTCGTCTTGTCAATCATGGACCTGGTGACACGGGCCCAGTATCCAAGCTTGTCCTCTAAGCCCTCATCCCGAATAGCTTGGAGAATCAGGTGCGGATCTCCGTTCGATTGCCGATAAATTCTCAGATACTCGTGGACCGTAGCTACGGGGCTTTGTGGCTGCTCTGTGTCTAAACCATCGGAGGTTTGGATCGGAGACGGGGCAAGATTCGCCAGGGTATCAGTCACTAACTCTGAAGCTTCGGCCTGCTCCTCCGCGCTTGATTGAGGCTGCGGTTGGACAAAAGGCCCGTTGGAACCCTCGGCTTGACTGTTATCCTGCTCCCAGCGCGGGCCAATGTTCCCAAAAGGTAGGTCGAGCACCTGATTTTGCCACTCTGCAGCAGATCCGTCGTCGTCTTGGTCGATCCAATCATCATCTGGCCCCGGAAGATTCTCTACTTGTGCGGCCATTCGCTGTTCTTCATCATTCTCGTGTTGATGTTGGTGCTGGTGCTGGTGCTGCTCCTGCTCATTAGCAGCAAAAGCAGCTCGCATGTTAATCTCGGGTTGTTGTTGAACCACGTAGTCACGGACCAGGATGACAAGAATGAAACAGATAATGACCAAAATGGTAATGATCTGACCCTCGAAGATGTTGATGAGCGTCCGGTTCAGTACAGGATAGCGCGAAAAGTTTCGAAGGAACGAAACATTACTCAGGAGGGACGCATGCGGATCAAAGGACGTAGCAGCCCCAGGGATGCTATGGCTCACTGTGAAGGAGGGCGGCATGGACCCGAAAAAGAGCCTCAGCATACCTGCGGTCAAGGAGTCATCAGTGGTGATGTCGAATCCGTGCCATGACCCGGAGAAAGGTGCTGTGGAATGCGTCTGCAAGAGTCCATTCATGTTGCGGCCAAGATTCGGACTCATGGCTGACTTGTAAGCGGACTTGTTGAGAGGGCAGGCGTCAAGGTACTTCAAGCCGATGTATGGGTGTCCGGGATGCGATGCCGAGATGTTGGCGGGAATCCAAAATTGTCCACCACCAAGGCCTTCGTCGCTCAGCCAAAACAGAAACGACCAGACAGAACGCATGAGCCAAGGGAGCCAACAGAGCCATACCACTGCCACCAAGCCGGCCCGCAGCCACGTCAAAATGTTCCGAAAGAGGTATTTCGCTACATGGCCGATAAAGACATGGACGGGGAGTGTGTTCGGCATTTTAGGCGAGTACAGCTTAGTGAAGCGGAAAGGCGTTTTGCACAGCTCGCAGTGTTTCTTCTGCGAGTGCGAAAGCCACTCCATCAGGCACTCTTGGTGCACATATTTGATACTGCCGCTGCATTTGCAGGGGTAGAAAAGCGGTTCGTCGGGTGTCGCCTCACCCCGGCATATCCTGCAAGTGTCTGGATCAAGGTTGTTGGTCTCGGGTAGTGAGGTCTTCGGCCGGCCCTGATCAGCCATTGTTGATGCGGAGAGTCGACGGCGAGGATGTGCAAGGGCGTCAGCAGCCATGAAGGGCTCTATTGCCGGGTCCGCCATGTTGTAGGTAGCTTTTCGAGGGGTCGAAACTGATCGCCGGCAACTGGCGACGAATTATGGAGTCATGGGACTTGCTGCTTTTTATTGTCGGAAAACTGACAAGCAAGCGTTGCCGGGCAAGTCACACGGTCAGCTCAGGCGCGCGATCTTTCGGAAAATGTGGATGCTGTCGTCGATTCCGTAATGTCGGAGGGGGTCGGTCGAATACCGCGATGCGTCGCTCGAGAGTGGGCGGGACAAGTGACGTCCAAGAGGTCGACCGCTGATGGGTACCGAGCGAAGGCTGTCAATCCGCGAAAGTATGTAGCTGGGAGGTTGAGGTCAGGCAGGTTGAAGAGCGGCTCTGACAGCTACCTAAGGTACCAGCTAGGTAATAAGGTTGGTGACAGCAAGCAGTCGGCGTGGCGGTTCCTGACGAATCCACAGGAGCCGAAATGTAGCGATAAGGGAGTCGCGATCCGATAAGAAACATCTCACGCCGCAACACACGTGACTCTCTACGGCAATGGACCGGAACCTGGCTCGAGCTTCAATCCATTAAGACCATTCCAGCCCCCTGTTGAAAATAAGACAGCATCGCCTTCTCGCCTCTACGAAGCTCGACCAGCCATCAAGCAGTCTAAAATCGTAGTTCTCACTTACAACTAAGCCAAATCAGGAAGATCACGTTTGATTCAAGCGTGTGCTTTTGAAGTGCAATCCGGAATGAAGTCTGTCTGAAGAGGCATGCGCCACAACTGCCCAGTGCACAGAGGTCGACAGGCGCTGCGTCCCACCTGCCGGCCGACTGTTTTGTTTCGAGGCTCTTACTATCATTTCGGCCATCTCTTCGGCGCGCGGCCAGGTCAATACATGGACAGTTAGCTCATCATGCGAAAAGCGTGACTGATAAGACAACTGAGGGAGGAAACGGGGCTCGACGTGTGCCGCTTCTCCTATCTTCAGAGCGCGGAACATGCAGGAGGACCAAAGGCAAGGCTCGAAATAAGCTGCAGGCAAACGTCATCAAGGCGAACTACATCCACGGTTGGCTTGTGACAGGCCACATCCTGGCGCTAGGCTGCATAGCATCAACTCGAGACCAGACCGTTGGAGAGTCTGTCGCACGTTCGAGGAATCTGTGTTGTGATCGGATTGTATCGATAACAGGCTTTTGTGAAGAAGAGATAGGAACAGCATGACCACAACTAAAGATGGTGCAGACCGAGTCAATCGAGCGATGCAACCATCTGAATACTTGAGCGGTACATGGATTGATGTCACAAGGAACAAGCTCCCCGGAGATGACGTCGGTCTGAACCACGATGAACGAGTGGCTGAGTGGTCACTGGTCAGCCACCTGGGTGGTGGTGAGATCCACTTTGATCCCTCGCCTAGCGCATCCCCAAACTTGGCCTGGCAAGCCTCGTTACAGCTCGGGCGTTTTGGACAGGAGTGGGGTCCGTGAAGGGACTGGCCTTGGGAAGCCATGGGTGAGCACGCTACCTCAGCGTGCAGGAAGAAGCTCCCTGACCACATGCTTTTCATGCTTGTGCCTTGAATTCTCGGCCGTTGTCTTCTTTGTGCTGCCGACCGGGCTTGATCACGCAACCTCACCCTATCCAAATCATCTTCGCATTTCGAAACCCGTTCATCAACCGTTCGGAGATTCTGCCAACGTTGGACGCTTTCCATTTCGAAACATCAGGCGAACCCAGCAGTCGTCGCATCGTCCATCCGACGTTGCATCTCGGCACAGAACAGGGTAAGGAAGCTCCCCGTGACCCACTTCTGTCGTTCCAGCCTCGCATGCATGCGAGTGTTGCTGGTCTGGCCCATGCAGAGAGGGATCACCCATCCTTCTGCACTCGCGACAGTGAAAAAAAGCTGTCTTCCGAATACTCCATCCTGCGCAGCCAGGAAGTCCTTTTGGTCCAAATTTCAACTGACAAAGTTCCACAGCTACGCGGAAATCAGATTGGAGTGACCGCCTCTACTTTGACGTTCAGTATCGTCGCCGACCGAGAGAGCGATAACGACAAGAATCCACCACACGACGTGATTCCCTCCTGCAGGCGAAGCTTTCGCTTCACCGCACCTCCGCCATGGAGGTTTCCAGCAGCCACACCAACGGCTATTCGAAAACACCAAACGGGAAGATGAACGGCCATTCTGTTGGTGTCAAGAAGAACGCGCCGCGTCAGGGCCCCAGCCTGGTCGGTCGCTTGTTCAGCATCTTTGCCAGGTATGTTGAAGAAAATGACGTATCTCCGTGACTGGGCTTCGACACTTTCTGACTGAACCCATCATCAGGATCGCAACCTGGTGGACTATCATCACAGTTCTTTTCCGATGCCCTTCAACGTTAGAAGACTGCAACGAGTCATCGCCTCTCGCGTGCCGCACCTACTTCCAAGCGAAGAATGTCTTGGCACCTCACGTCGAGCCTTACTACGAGACGTACGCTGCGCCCTACGTGGAGCTGGCCCAGCCATACTACAACATCGCCAACGAGCGCGTCCTGACACCAGTCAAGGGCTATGCCACCAAGTACGGTGCGCCTACTCTACGCCAGGCCCAAGCATACGGCCAAGCTCAATGGTCCCAGAACGTTTCCCCCCAACTTGCTGTTTATCAGAAGGCCGCCACTGATAAGTATGGCGAGACGGTGGCTCCTCACGTCGCCAAGCTGTCCGAAGCAGCAACTCCATACTATGATATTGCTCGAACCAGCGCTCTCCAGACCTATCATGAATTTTTGCTTCCTTCATACATCCTTGCGCAACCCTACGCCGTCCAGGGTTACGACGCAGCCTCTCAATTCACCACCGACACAATAATTCCTTCTGCGAACTGGGCATGGAACAAGACATTCGTCTTCCTTGATACGACTGTCTGGCCTCAAGTACGTGTTTTGTACGTCAAAAACGTCGAGCCGCAGCTTGCAAGAATTGGACAGCGTCTCGGGCGTTACAAGGACAAGTCAAAGGCCGCTGTTGAAAGTGTGCAGGAAGGGTAAGCCAGCTCTGTATTCGCCCACTCTCCATGTCCCCCAGCTAAAGACATGAGTAGGATCAGTTCCGAAGCCTCCTCTTTCGTCAAGCCTGCGTCCTCTGCGGTATCATCGGCCACGTCCAGCGTTTCGTCGAGCATTGCATCCACATCCAAGGTCGAGAGCGCCACCCATATTCCGGACACTGTCAAGGTAGCCAAGCATGACGCCAGCGAGCAAGTTGTTGCGCCGCCCGCCGACGCCAACGAGTCTGATCTCCGCAAGACAACCCGTGAAACCGTTGCGGAGGACCTCGAAAACTGGCAGACCAAGTTCGCCAAGGCGGCTGACGAGGGTGCCAGCGAAATCGAAGACCGTATCGAGGAGATATCGCAGCGCATGGTCAAGGAGAACGTCGACGACATCGGCACTAGCCTTCTGAAGGGTCTCCAGGCCACGTCCAAGGCTGAGGTTGAGGCTCTGCAGAACGACATTATGGTCATTGTGAAGAACGCGGGCGGTGACCGTGAGGCCGGTGAGCAGGATCTGAACGCTGCCGTTCGACGTGCTGGTCTAGCCGTCAAGGAGAAGGCCCAAGAGATCCGTGCTTGGAAGGAGAGCTTCGAGCTCGACATGGAGGCGGCCATCACCGACGCCGCTGAATCTCACTTCAAGATCCTGGACAGCATCCGCGATTTGGCCCTGCAGCGCATTGGCATGAAGTGGGCTTGGATGGATGGTGTGACCTACAAGGACTGGGCCAAGTTCCACGAACTCAAGGACCGTTTTGACGAGTGGACCAACGACCTCAAGAAGCTTATCATTACCCATCCGGCACTTGAGGATGCTCGCGAAGCTTCTGGCAAGATCGAGGACTCCGGTATGGCAGCTGCGCAATCAGCGGCACAGGAACTTGTCAGGCTCAAGCAGGTCGGCCTCTGGAAGATTGTCGCTGGTGATTCGTCCGCCAACTTTGATAGCGATGCCATGCGTTCCGCTTCTGAGGCTGCTGAAGAGGCTAAGGCCAAGGTCGCTGCCTTTGCTGCCGCGCAAGCTGCCGCTGCTTCTCGTGCTGCAGAGGAGTCTCGAGCTGCGGAGGCCGAGGCTGAGGCATCTCGCGCTGCAGAGGAGTCCAAGGCTGCTCAAGCCATCGCCGATGCCAGCTCCGCCCCCGTGGCCGATCCTCGCGAAGACGCTGCTCACGTTATCGAGGACGAGTCCACCGCCACTGACCTTCCTGTTGAAGGTTCGTCCGCAGCCCAGGATGACCCGCTTGAAGCTGCTGCCAGTGTCCTCGAGGATGAGTCGCCCGCCGACAATCTGCTTGAGGAACAATCTATTCCCTCACAGGTCAGCAGTGCGACCGATGCGGCCTCCAGCGTTGTTGAGAGCGTGGTCTCCCAAGCTTCTGAAGCGGCCAGCAGCGTTATCAGCGATGGCTCTACCATCATTGCAGGTAGCGCCTCTCCCCACGACGATCTGGCTTCAACAGTAATTGAGGGGGATGATCAAACCTTCGTCGTCAATAACACGGGCTCATCGCCTGCCGAAGACGACGCCCAGGAGCCTGTGGCTCCCGAGGAAAAGGCCGAGGAGCATCTTGAGGAGCAGCTTGAGGAAGAAATTATCCCCGAATCTGTGGAGGACCGACCCGTCTCAGCCGAGACAGAGACAGTCAAACCTGTTTTCCTTGGTGTTGCCGCTCAGTCGGTCGCTAATCGTAAAGGACCTATCCTCGACGATGACGAGAGCACAGTTGAGACGCTTTCCGGAAAGGCACAGGAGGCCTACTCCCACGCTGTTGCTCAAGCATCTGAGAAGTATTCTCTCGCCATGTCAGCTGTGTCTGCCCAGCTCTACGGCACTCCGGAGCCGGAGCCCGTGCAAGAGAAGATGTTCGCCTCCGTCTCCGGTGCCTACGCCGGAGCTATGGACGCAGCCAACTCCCGTC